TTATCAAAAACTAAACAAAATTGCCCAATAAAAATTTTTCTTAAAACATAGAAAGCATAAAATGTATAAAACATATGTTTCTTTCAAAAAAATTTTTTTGAAAATAAGCTCAAGTGATAGTAGTAGTAGTGGTTAGTTAGTGTAAATGTCTTCTTCATAGAGTTTTTTTATTATTCTAAATTTGGTAGAAGGTTTAAAAAATGGAGACTTCTTATTCTAGCCTTGAACTTGGCTGTGAAAGTAGCAAAGAAATGTCCAATTAAGTGTATCTAAATAATTTTTCAGTAATTGCAATAACGGTTTGACAAAAATTCTTCGTAATTTTCCGTATCACGCAACTAGTTTATAATATACGTGTTTACTTTTACAATAAATTGACAATAAAATCATTATGCAATTAGAAGTGAATGTAGCATGACTTGCAATTGAGATATTGTTCTGAATTGGTCAATTATATGCAGTGCTAGACCTGTTGTTGACTTTCAAATCGAAATTTTTCAGTTTTCTAATAATATAATTGAAGTGGAGAAGCATAATTGCATTGCAGGATATTGGTATGTGAAGTAATTAGTGAAAAAGGTGCAGCTTTTATTAATTTGCGCTGACCTAAGGATTTGTATTCAAGGCATTGAGGCAATTAGCGGTGAGATCCATAATAAAATGCGGATGTCAATGACACATTACCACTGGCATAAATTCGAAAAGAAAAAGCAAAAAAAAAGCAAATTTTCAACGAAAGTTTTACTTTTTCTCAATGCGGAAAGTTATTGTCTTTTGTTAATAAAACAATACACTATGAAACATAAGAAGTGGTTATTATATAAGCCATTTTTTCTAAAACTGCCACTTTGGTGCTTCCTATATCATGCGGTATTACTTAAAAGATTTGTTACGCTTTGTAAAAACAAAAGGATAATTACTAGGCTTAATAAGAGTTAATTTTTCTCACATTTACGCTATTAAATCCTTAAATTTTTGGTTTTTAACTATTTCTTGACCCAAATTAATGCAATTATAGTGTGTCATTCTAAATGAGGAGATAATTTTCTAATGAAAACACTTAAAGTACCGTTTTAATAACGACTCTTAGGTAGTTGTTGTTCTACTCTTATTTCTGAGAAATTTTACGTAAAAATAAAAATTATATAATTTTTGAGCAACTCTTGAATTTTCATGGTGTGAAATTCCGTAACCGGTGACCGAAATTTCCCGAAAATGTGGTAATGAGTGAAGACCTACCATTTTCCAGGTGTAATATTCCGCCAACTTTCTTGTACTTTCTACACGTATTCAAAAAAGGATCACGACCATCTCACCAGCACTGTTTGATTTATTTATTGCATAATATGAAGAACTTGAACGTGTAAAGACTTTCACAGTCACAATCTATCTGACCTGCAATTTGAGAGTTAAGACGACCAACAAGAACCCCACTACGACTTCTGGCCGCCCCAGGAGATGCGATCAACGTCTGGCTTGCAGGTGCAATAAAATTACAAAAAGTGTAATTTGTTAGGAGATTACTGGAAAAGCGCAAAGTTTCAAAGCCCGACATAAATTATTAGCTGGGCTGAAAGGGTGAAAGAACACTTCTTTTAATCCAATTTTTAAAATGTGGGTAGTTTTGTTGGATTTTTCAACCAGAATTTTCTATTCTTGAAGCTTCACACCTCATTTAGAAGTAGTTTCACTTACGTAAGGTTTTGAATTGCGTGAAAAATAAATTATTCAAAGTAGAGTCCACTTGCAAAATACCCACCGTGTTGAATGGCATAATTTAATCGAAACTATAAGGAAATAAATTACCCAAAAATATCAAACTCTTGGTAGTTAAAACTACATATATTTGGGTCAACATTTTAGGACAAATGAAAATTTTAAGGGTTTTTTCCTGTGTTTAAATTATATTAAAAAAGTTAAAATTTTAAAGCGTTTCGGCGTTTTTWAAATTTTTACTAATTTAACTAAACAGGGTTAAAAATAATTTTTTTTCTTTTTTTCCAACGCTTTAATACATTTCTCAGCTAGAAACACATTTATTTTGCCAAAATGTTATTAAAAACAAATCAAAAACCCAATAAATTGGGTCAAAATGATTGTGATTTTTTGTAAGTGATTTTTGCATACATCATGTTTAAACACGTTTTTGTGCTTAAAAACATACTAAAGAATTACAAAATTAAATTAAAATTAATATTTTTTTGCTAAATTTTGTTTGCATTTTCCCCAAACATGCTTGAAAATCATAAAAATAAATTACAATTGATGTTTTTAAGTATAATTAAGTCCAAAACAAACTGAAAAACAAAAACTTTACTCAAAAATGTTTTTTGGCACGTTTTTGTGGTGAAACCTTAAGTTTTTGCAAGATTTCGCTAAAACAAACGAAAAAAAGTATAAAACGAAGTCAAAAATTATATTTCTCGAGTATTTTAGCCTGTTTTTTAGATAAAAAGGTAATTATTTCGCAAAATTTTGTTAAAAACAAACTAAAAATTATTATTTTCTTGCTGAATTTAGTTTGTTTTTGAAGCAGAGGTTCATTTTTTGCAACATCTTGTCCAGACACGYTCAATAAACATAAAGATAAATTAAAATTTATGTTATGTTACAAACCGGAAAATAAAGAAGTTTACTCAAAAATGAGCACGTTTTTGGGTAAAAACTCAAGTTTTTTTGCGAGATTTTAATAAAACAAACCAAAAAATCATCAAATTAAGGCAAAAWTTATATTATTAAAAACGCAAAATTTTGTTCAAAACGAACTAAAAATTTAACAATTTAGGCCAAAAATAATTTTATTTGTATGACCCCTTTGGGTGTTTAAGAACGTGTTATAAGTAAAAAAATCAAACAATTTCGCGTTTAAACAAGCTGACAAATTACAAAATTGATAGTATTTTTATTTCGCTCAACTTAGTACGTATTTTAATTAGATAAGCTCATTTACTTTGCGAAATTTTGTCCAAACATGCCTAAAAAATAAAAAAACAAATTAAAATAGATCTTATTTTGTTTATCTTATTTGATTTATCTGGTTTTTGAGCAAATTTAAGTCAAAACAAATATTATTGTGTTAAATCTTTAGTTTTTGCGAAATTTTACTAAAACAATCTAAAGAATCATTAAATAGATCCAAAAATTCTATTATTTTTGCATTTCTTAAATGTTTTAACGTTTTCGCAAAATTTTGTTAAAAGCAATTCAAAAAAATCATAGAATTAGGCCACAAATGATGTCACTTTTGCTTTTTTTGATTGTTTTAGCGGATTTTTGAGCTGAAAACTTTTTTTATAGGTTCCGAGTCAATAATCAATAAATTGCTATGAAAAGATTATGTGCTTTTTTAACCACACAGTTTATGTAAAAAACGTAAACTTTTGGCTCTGTTGGAATGATTTAAATTATGGTCTTGTAATCTGGTGAAAATAGATGTAAATCTCACAACTTTTCCACTCAGATCTGGTAAATTTTATTTTTTTGAACTGACAACACTGAGAAGTAGTTTTGTGTCCCTGGTCGTATTCATTAAGTTATTGTTACCAGTTTATTTAATTGGAAAGAAAAAATAAACTGAATTGTTAAAAAATGAAAGTGGACTATAATTTCCAAAGTTAAATAAAAAAATGTCATTAAAACTGATTACATTAAAATTACTTTGTTTAAATGAGCCGTAACCCCAACTGATGACACTTAACTAATTTTACATTTTATTCAAATATGCAACGATTTATAAATTTCAGTTTAATGATTTTTTATAAAATGAACTCTAGTTTATTATGAAATTCTTTAACAAGTTGAGCGCATTTAATGAGCAAATAAAAAATTAATTATTGATTTTGAGGAAAACAATAATTGGTAAAAAACATGATTTTTTCCTTCTTCCGCACACTGTGCGTGTTTATTAACGATTAATTAAATTAAATTAAAAAATTAGGTACTTATTAGATATGTTACAGAAATAACCTGGTGTATTGTTGGTTGCAGCACAAAACTTTAATTATKGAACGTTARYAATAATAGATTTATATGTAATTTTTTKAATGATAAAAAAGKTATTAAACGTAAAAAAATGATTAACAAGAAATAAATCTGATAAAACGGCCTTGAGTCCGTCCTTGACACTTGACAGTTCCTAACCTCGAAATTTTTAAATCTGGCATGCACAATAACCTCTTTAAATGGCCCACCAAAAGACCAAAAAGGGCAACTCTCCGTGGCTTCAGTGTGAAAAATGCCTCATCCATATCACAACCAAAGACATTGATAAACACTCAAGTGATTGCCCTCCAACCCCAAACAGTTACAATTTTATCCAAAACCACGTCCTTTTTGGAAGTCTAGACATCAAAGTGAATGAAGACATTAAAGGAGTGGTTGATAAAGACAGTTTGGTATTTTTAAGTCAGAGTGCAATTCAATTATGTGGACTTTCAATCGGGGAATGGGGGCTATTGGAATTTGAGAATTCACCCCCTGTGGCAAAAGTGGTTTGGCCCACAACCGAAAAACACTTAACTGGGGTTTTATTAACAAAGCATGGTACCTCCTCCAGACTTGAATCAATTATAATTAATTTAAATCGTTKCAGCACTGAAATTGTGTCMAGGRGAGGTAAATCAAGCMGTGAAAGTTTCAGCAATGCCTGAAAACGCACCTGAAGCTTGGAGAGTCACTCTCGTGACGTTAAATAAACCAAAATCGCTTGAATTCACCCCGGAGTTGACCAACAGGATTCAAAAAAGCTTCACCGAGAAGTTATTCTGTGTCAAAAACAGGATCAGTTTGATGTATTTTGGAAAAGTCCTAATTTTTGAAATCAAATCAATCGAAACTGAACACTTAGCCGATGATTTTGGGAATTTGACCATAAAAGGGAGCCGATTTTACACAATTATGAGTAAAACAAGTTGGAAATTATTCGGGTAATTAACAAAATCGCATCCAAAAAAACTAAATAAAAATTTCAGGGACGACACCGAATTTGCGGAAAAGACACTCGGGAAGGATTTAATTTCAACAATTGGTGGTTTGGATGCCGAAATCGCCGACATAAAAGAGACAATAAGTGCGTTTTTGAGCCCCAGGAACCCCTACGGGCTGAAGCACTGCAAATCAATCCTTTTGTATGGAAATCCCGGAACTGGGAAAACTCTCCTAGCAAGGGCCATTTCCCGCGATTTCCAGGCCCACATTATCGAAATAAACGCCTCAGATTTGTACAAATCCAGCGGAAATGTTGACGAAACGCTCAAAAATCTTTTCGAGGAGGCTGTGGAGCACTCTCCCAGTATCGTAATTTTAGACGAAGTTGATATTTTATGCCCCACAAGGTCCCAAAGAATGTCAGATTCGGAAAAACGCGTTTTTGCGATGTTATTAACAATATTGGATAATTTAAAAAATCGCGTTTTTGTCCTTGCARCCACGAGCAAACTCGAYTCCATTGACCCGGTTTTGCGGCGTTGGGGCCGCCTAGAGCGCGAGATTGAAATCAGTACCCCCAACCCAAAAAATCGGGAAAAAATCCTTGCGAAACTTTTATCCCAAGTCGGYCATGATTTATCAGAGCCGGATTTGGCCGAGATTGCGTTAAATACGCACGGTTTTGTCGGGGCTGATTTGCTCTCTTTGTGCTCCAGGGCCGGCCTTGTGGCCTCTAAACGCAATGCTGAGAAAATCGCCGTCGATGATTTCAAATCGGCTTTGAGACACGTTAGACCAAGTGCCATGCGTGAGGTTCAAGTGGAAGTGGCGAATGTGCGTTGGGGRGACATTGGGGGGCTYGAGCGTCTCAAATTGATACTCAGACAGGCCGTGGAGTGGCCCTTGCGACACCCGGAGAGTTTCCTTCGTCTGGGGGTGACGCCACCTAAGGGGGTMCTCATGTTTGGCCCCCCTGGATGCTCGAAGACGATGATAGCCAAGGCTTTGGCCACCGAAAGTGGGCTCAATTTTCTCTCAATCAAGGGTAATTAATAAAATTAATAATTAATTGAGTCAATTAAGTTAATTGAAGTTTTACAGGGCCGGAATTGTTTAGTAAGTGGGTGGGGGAGTCAGAAAAGGCAGTGAGGGAGGTGTTCCGCAAGGCGCGACAAGTGGCCCCCTCTGTGATATTCTTCGACGAAATTGACGCTTTAGGGGGCGAGAGGGGCTCCGGGTCGAGTACGAGTGTGCAAGAGAGGGTTTTGGCCCAGCTGTTGACCGAGTTGGATGGGGTTTCGCCCCTGGGGGATGTCACTGTTTTGGCGGCCACAAATCGCCCTGATCGTATCGATAAAGCGCTTTTAAGGCCAGGCCGACTTGATAGAATTGTTTATGTTCCGTTRCCTGATGATGACACGAGACGAGAAATCTTTAAATTGAAATTGGCTAAAATGCCAGTAAGTTGTTTTTTTTTCTGTTTTTTTTTGAGTTTCAGCGGTTTTTACAGGTTTGTAATGTGGATATTGAGGAGTTGGTTCGGTCGACAAGGGGGTATTCAGGGGCTGAGGTTAATGCAGTGTGTCATGAGGCAGCAATGATGGCTTTAGAGGACAGTCTTGAGGCGGAGTTTGTAGAAAAAAGGCATTTTGATAAGGCTTTAACGATAGTAAGGCCCAGAACGCCAGATAGTCTGATTCAATTGTATCAAGATTATTTGAATAAAAAAATTTGATTTGTAATAGTTTTAATTCGCGGAAAAAGGGTTTGAATCAACACAACCGAATTAGTTTGTGGTCGAGAGTGTATTGACTCGAAAATAGAAGGCGATCAATTTAGTTAAATCTAAAAAAGTAATTTTGAAAAGTGAAATAAAATCTGATACCAGTTTTTAAATTTGAGTTGCTTTTAGTCACGCATAGAGTTTTACATTTCGGAGAGTTCGAAAAGTCAAATTTGACGTTAAGCCGGCTTTACAGTGAAATTTTCAGAATGTCAAAAATTTGATCTTATTTTTCCGGTACGGAAAGCAAATTAATACCTTCTAATTTGTTACAAGAGATAAGATCATCAAAAAAACAAACCCACTTATAATCATTTTTGTCACTGATATGTTTTAACGTTTTGGAGCATTAAAAAAAGTCATATTTGACGTTAAAGCCTGCTTTACAGTGAATTTTCAGAATGTCAAAAATGTGATTTCTTTCTGGCATMGGCATAGCACAAAAAGCAAGTATTAATTAAAAAAGGCAAACCCCAATTGCACCCCACAGTGTTCCTTCAAGCGATGGTTTATTAAAAATAATTTATTTTTCAAATGTCAATTAATGTTGGTAATTTCTTTATTACTACAATTAAGAAACACCAACTTAACAATAATAAAAACCATTTCAAAGTCACCAAACATTTATTTTACGACTAATTTACAACATTTATATCTATTCAAAATCGGCCACTGTATTTTTAAACATTAATGCAATTCGAATGCAGTAAGTAATCGTCATACGTCAAGGACTAGATAATTATTTTTTATCAATTGAAGTGYCATCAAATCTGATAAAATTGTAAGRTCAACCTTGTTTTTTAGTCACTTAGTTTCCTTATTTTACGTAAACCAAAGAAAACCTGAAATTYTTTCAGTGATGAACACGAAAATTTATCGATTAGTGCTGCTTATGGGTGAGAATGACTGACTTGTATTACTGGTTGCAGACCCTCCAACATGAGCTAATTCTTTAGTAACGYTGCATTTGCATATTTTTAGCGCATGTACCTAATCTTCGTAATTATTGTTAACAAAACGTATTTTGATGTCTATTTTTTTTCAATGTTTTTCTGTTTCACATTATTCAACGCTATTAACGAACTTGTTTGGGTGCGTAATTAGCCAAGTGTATTTTATGTTGGAAAAAAATATATTCTTGTCAATTTCTTTCCAAAAAAATAGTGAGAATTCATTTTCAGAATACCTACCCACAATAATAAATGTCAGGTCGAGTGTCACGTGTCACCAACAGACACAAAATTCCCTAAATTWAAATTKTTTTTTTTTTTAAWTAAAAATRGCATAAAAACGCAAAATTCAAACACTAGTATAAAAGTCGTTACAGAAAGCCATTCAMGCAATTATTTRTTCTGMAACTCGCAATTTTAAACTCTTGCTGGATGTCTTCTGCAACTCGTTATTTTCCACTGTATTTAAGTAAATTTTTGTTAGTTTAATAACATTTTTATACCACTGAAAGTGCAAAACTGGAAAAAGCTAAAACGTGCTCCTCCCTCGCAGGATGCTTCTTTCTCRTCGACTCCATGGACATAAACGACTTTTTCCCCGACATAAATGGCAATTTAACAAAAATCACTTGGGCCCACGCTGTGAACAACAAAACCTATCTCGCTGCATCTCTCAACAGTAAAAAAAATCAACCATGTTGCAAAACCAGTAATAAACACTTCCAGGTTCCGTAATGATGCTGGAAGCTGACGTCATTTACGGCAAAATCAATGGAAGTGGTGAGTTAATCCCAATCATGGGTCATCCACCTGCAACCCAATCCGACCTCTCCCTCGAGGAATTTCTAACAACGATTCACAGTTTTAACAAGAAGGAAAACAACCGGAAAGGTGTCAAGTTGGATTTTAAGTCAACGGAGGTTTTCACCAAATCTGTTGACTTTATCCGAAAACAATACAATTCGGTTTGTGATTTGGGTCAAATTGGCTTGTTTGAGACTGAAATTTCCAGATTGATTATCCTTTATGGATCAACGCGGATATCATTCGAGGYCCGATTAATCTCGAGACTGTCCCAGTCGATCCGAAAATCTTTTTATCAACAGCGAAAATCTTCGATAAGTCTGTGTTATCACTCGGATGGACGACAACTCGACCAGTAATGGGCCTCACATACAATAACGCCCAAGTAAATGCGATGATTGAAGTGATAAGAGAAAATGACGTTAAACAGGAGATAACGTTCGCCGTTAGAGCGGGAACTGCGGCGCAAAGCTCCACCGAAATGAAGCTTTTGAAGGATGAAGTGAAAAATTGCACTCTGACCATTTGGTCCAGCGAAGGGGACGAGGTCGACGTCCCAAAACTGAGGGATTTGATTTTTGAATATGGGATTAAACGAGTTTATGTTGACGTTCCGAAGGATTTACGCGACCGCTTGGATTTAGRCAATTAAATTTTGTAAAATTTCACAATAAAATGGCAGATGTATGTGATTTTCGTGTAATTGGTGATTCAGACAAACCAGTTAATCCCGGAATCGATGGGGTGGTTTCCACCCCTATATCGCTGCAAATACGTGTAATTTGTAAAGCTGAACATCTGGCTACTAATCCAACAAACTTATGAGTCTTGACAACTCTATAGATGGAAATGCGTTTGAGAAATTAATAAACGCTATATTAAAAAGTTTGCGGCTTTTGTAAAAAGGATTTTAATTTAAAAAGGTAAAGAACAAACAAAAGAAAAACCACTTTTCATGTTTTCGCTGAAATAATTACTTTAAAAGCCGGAAAGTTTTATTTTTAATTTATAATTTTCTGGATATAATGGAGCACCCAAGGAAAGTCATTAATTTAATTTTGAATAAGGCAGGTATACATATTAAATTGAATACATTYTTTCAACTCTGGAGAAAAACTCTTGATGTGATTTATGACTTCATTACGTCCTCTTTGGGTAATACAATAATTCAATAATAGTATATTATGTCACAAGGTAGAGAAGAGATTTTATAAAATTCTTCTCTACCGTGTTTTATACAACATTTCTTTCACTACTAGTACATTTATTACCCAGAAATACTACGATGAAAAATACAGTGTTTTAAAATGATTTTCATCTAGTCGCCTATAGAATTTCTTTACRTGTAAATTTTTCTGTGTTGGTCTACTCTTTTTGAATCAGATAGTTCTGTCAACAGTGACAGCTGTCAATTGAAATAAATTAACATTTGAGGTTAATTAGATTCAATATTTTTTAAAAGCAGCATTTTTATTTTGCATGGAAATTCCATAGGCGACTAGGTGAAAATCGTATTAAAACACGCTTTATAACCATACTTAATGAACGTTTTGCCTCAGACGTAACATAACGTAATTTACAACTATTTTTTTATACTATTTTTGTTAATTTATTATTACCTACAGTAATTAATTACTTACTTATTTACTTAAGGTGGATATTTTCTTCTTATCATAAATGAGGTTATGTCATTTTTGTACTTCTGCAACTATTTTAAAGGAATTTTCTAACTTCATAATCTGAAATATTTGTTAAAATAACAAAGAAACTAATAAGAAAAGGGAAAAAGTGTCAAAATTTGCCCTACTACCGGTAGTATTTTAACATGAAATAACCTCATTTGTTGTTTTGACAGTTTTGACAAAGACAGAAGAATTAGAGGTGGGGTTATTCTGATGTTTTTTAAACAGGAAGTTTAAGTCTTTTTTATTTGATTTTGCATTAATTTCATCTTGAAATACTTCCATTAGTACTTGTGACAATAGTTTTAAATAATATTATTTTAGATACCCTCCAATATCGGTATTTACCCACCTCTAAGCCATTACTGCCCTTGGTCTATAATGAATATATTGACCGCTAGGAGAGAAAAACAACCTAAATAATGATACCTTTTACAACTAGTAGTGAAAAAATAAATTAAATCGTTTATTTTGATTAGGTAGATGTTTGAGACAGTTTGTTCAAAAGAAACCTAATTTTAAAGATTGATGATGGTTTTGATTTGATATTCATGGGATGCGAGAATACACAAAGGGGGTCAATGGGCCTGAGCAATTTGGGTGAAACAAACACTTGAGTTTTTTTGTTAGATTCTGAACTAGCTAAAAACCCATAAAAATTCCCCGTGGTGGAGTATGGCGATAAAAGAAATCTCTCTCGAACAAGTTACGTGTCCTCTTTCGCACAAACAAAACCGTGAAAGGAATAATAACAGCGTAACAAAACTTTTTGTAAAATTATTACGTTCAAGAATATTAAAAATTATTTTATTCGAATTCCTTTTCCTTACAATGAAAATCAATTAAAACTTAATTTGATGAACAAAGAGGCATATTTTTCTGTAATAGCGGTGATGACAGGATGACTCCCATTTATGGAATTTGTCATTAAACTAGACACAAAACTGAATGAAGGACTAACACAACTGCACAACTTCCGAAAGTCATGCTACAGCGGTCCGTAAATGAGATAATTTTACACTACAACGCTTACACACAAACATATTTGGAATAACAAGGAAACACGAAAGTGACACCATAACAACATTATCGGCTTGTTTTTATTTTATTAGTTGATACGTTAATCTTCTTGATCCAATTAATGTGTTTTGAAGAGGTTTATTGCATGAGTGACCCTTAATACAGCTACCGTATCATAAAATTTATTTTGAAAGCATATGTTTGTATTATGTTTACGAGAGTGCATGATTTATGCAAACTCAGCTTAAAGTGCTGACAACTGATGATAAGGCTGCTGCTAGGTGCAACAAACAAACAAATACAGAAATTGCAGTTTGATACAAGTTTGTAATATTTTAATATTTTGACAACTGTGGAGAAAAAGTATAGGTACTATTTTTTCAAAAACGTGGAAAACATAATAAGAATGACGTGTTACAATAGTTGAAAACGATGTATGAACCATTTCGAGGAAATATAATTTTTTATTTTATGATATTCGATTTTGTCGAAGTTTGCAAAAATGTCTTCGTATATTTTGTTCTTTAGTACTTAATTACTCTGACTAGATTTCTTGTTTTTTTTCAAATTTCCTTTTGTCAATTTTTAATTTTTATTGAGAAAAAAAAATTAATTAAAATAACAGGTACACCAAAAATTTCCAAATTTTTCTGATTTTAATAAAACAAAATGTATGAAACTAAGTGTTTTTTTGGTCATTTGCCTTCAATAATTAATGAAAATTAGAGTGCTTTAAAAAATGTGTTTTGAGAATGAAATTTTGTTTTGTTTTTGAGTCCTGCGTTTTTTCAACAACTTATATAAATTTTTTTTAATAAAAATTGAATAAAATGTAGATAGTTGTAATCCTTAGATTATATAGCCTTTGTTTAAAAAAATAAAAATTTCAAAACCCAAAAACAAAAAAAAAATCGAATTTTTGTTGGAGAAACATTCACATTTTTATAGTAATTATTTTTTTTAAATGAATAATTTTCTAATGATATCAAACAAAATTTTCAAGAAATCGTACAAATAAAGATTTTTAAAAATTGTTTTTTTTTGTGTAAAATTGTCCGGGAAATTTGTCTCTGTTTTGACCTAGGACTGATAGTTTTCGAGTTATGAATTTTTAAACTGTGAAAATTATTTATTTTGAGCTTCAGAGTTGCAACCAGTGAAATAAATATTTCATTAATAATTAACCTGATTAATTAAATAGCAATTTCCAATTTTATTTTTACGGTTCATTAATCAATTTGTAAATTATGCTGAAACGCAACGAAATTGTTACTGAAAAACCAATAAATAATTTAACGTTTTTTGTCAAATTTAGCGAAACTATTCTAAGCTAAAACATATTTGCGATTTTTGCGATGAGTAATATTGCTAGACGGGGAATTAATAGTTATTTGTATTACAAGGGAGAAAAGTGTTGTGTAGCCACACAGTGCAATACATACATATATTTTTTTTACAATCCAGCAAGGAAAACTTCTAAACTAACAATTTCTCTTGAAATACCAGTTTTTTCATAAAATCTAGCAACATGTTTTTCCGTTTTTATGGGAGAGGTAAAATTTTTACTTTCATTATTGTAATTTTGACAGATGAGGAGGGAGGAAAATTTTTAGCTCCCTGGGAGGTAATGGCCACTTTCCTTTCTGAAATTAGGGTGAAAAAACTTACTTCCTGTTAGGGTTGTAGGAAAAATGTTTTTAAATGGTACCAAACTTAAAAGGGCAAATATCAATAATTTTGAAAAAATCGTCCAAATAGAAATTTTCAAATCTCATGAAAAACATTGTTTTATGTAAAATTGTCCTGGGAATTCACACCCTTTGGACCTAGAACTGATAGTTTTCGGGTTATGAATTTTTAAATTGCAGAATTATTTATGTCGAGGTTCAAAATTGCAATCAGTGCAGCATTTCGTTAATAATAAACCTGATTAATTAAATAGCATATTCCAATTTCATTTTTCGTTTGAATAACCAATTAGCTGATTCTACAAGAAAAACTATTTTACAATAAACAATTCAACTAAATTGTTACCGAAAAACAAAGAAAAAATGTTTTAATGTTTTTGTGAACTTTTTTGGGCAAAACTGTGTCACTATAATATGGGTCACTGTAGCGTTTGGTTGGGATCAATATTTCATTCCAATGATAAATCTAATTAATTTAAATGGATTTTCATTTTTTTGAGTTTGTGCAAACTTGACCCGAGATTTCCAAGTAGCGATAAAAGATAATGGCCAGGAGCCCAGTGTCCACCGACTTTTAGTGCAAATTGGTAAAACTGCAACCGCACATAATCGTAAAATATTATCGAAAGTCTCGATAAGAGCGACGTTTAATAAATTCGCGTATTTAATGGCCCCGGTGCAAATCCCTCTCGATTTTATAGGACCGGATAATAATACCGCAATGGCGTGGTAAAATCCTCCGACAAATTACAATACTTCCATACGTGTTTATGCTTCCTCCTGAAATACGAGATCAGGCAGTTCGGGAGATGAATGGACCACAATGAATGCGCTTTAACAAATAAAGAGACACCACAGGCTCAGTCGATCCGTTGGCGCGACTTCGAAAGCATTACTCGTACTCGAATCTCGCACAAAACACGCGATTCACTACATTTTTATTTTTTAAAATGCATCGCAAGGGTTGTGTTAGTGTTTATCCGGTCTGAGGCGAAATTGGGCATTTTTGACGGAAAAATGGCATGTAAGTAGCGGTTTGCACAYCTGAGGAAGCGTTTTTGAGCCTARTTTKGGATTAAATTGAGATTTTGTAACAGTTGGGAGTCAAGGTTTTTTCTGCTCCAATTTTGTGAATTCAGTGAGAATCCGTTCATTCACTTTTTGAGTATCACTCTGTCAACATCTCTGTATACACATTTAAAGAAAATGTTTCGAAATTTGTTGGCTTAGTTCATGTTTTGTTATTTTTGAGAGATGACTACACTTATTATTTTTGATGGTACAAAGTAAAAGCCGAGGTAAAAGCAGTTCAAGGTGTGTTTGGAGTGAGACAAATTTTCATATTTTTCCCAAATTACATAACTTAGGTAGATGAGAGAAGGTTACTCAGATACTAATTTGCTATCTTTAATCTTGATAACTTTGGGTAATTTCTAGATTATGACTCTTTCTTGTGGTTTACGACACACTTGCTTTTTATAGAGATTCTGAATCAACGATCTAATATTAAATGCGACATTATTTCATATTTCAGTTCTAAATTTGTG